AACGTAACACATCTTGGTAACCGAAGGCTGTTAACGTAGTAGGCTTTTGCAAAGGAGATCTTTGGATAGTTCAGAACAGCCTTCGACTGGTAACTTTTGGTCCGCCTCTGTTGCAGAGTAATGGAATTTTTTAGAAAGGATGCTACAGTATGTTCCTGCGACGAAAATAACGTAGTACAGGGTGGCTAGCAAGCTATTCGGCGGGAACGTTCCTGCTTCTCAGGTTTTCAGACAGAGATAAAGCCTGGCTTGAAGCGCGAGATGGGCTCTCTGATGTGGATGTAGTACATTTGATTTATCGGAGTGTTTGACAGTGCCCCTATTCAGCTCAGTTTGCATAATCTTAACGTTCCTTCAATAGGGTAAACACTCCTAAACTCAATAAGGGTAGTACGAATTTTCCAAAAGCAATGCTTACATGGCGAAATGATCAGCTGGGCAGGAAGAACCGGAGGGATTAGTTCTTGGCATTTATATACTGTTCGTTATGCAGACGAATAACAGCGTATTTGTTTTCGGCCGTAAAAAATCAGGCTTTACAACGACGTTCGGCGCCTGCAAATTATTATAAGCCCGGACTATCGGATAGTTCTTCGACATACTCTGCCTTTCTATATAATAGCTTTAGGCGATGGCTATGTAAGGTCAAAATTGCAAAAACGTGTCATATCTCCCTTCCTTTAAACCATATGCTACGTAGAAAACAGTCTAGGCCCATCGATTATTCGACTGTTAGGGGTGACGAAGATCAAGATTGCGCCATGAGGTGTTCAGCATGCACCTGCGCCCAATAAGAAGCCAAATTATGCCGCACCGATCTTGATACTTCCTCTCACACCCATGGCGTTCCAGTGATAAGACAAAGTCAAGACGGGCAAAGGACCCACTGAAGATTAGCATAAAGGCATTAGCAAAACAGAGTAACCGCATTGGCTCCCTAACTTGCAGGCCGCTAATATAATACATCGAGACAATTTCGATCTAACTAGGTTGTAAGTCACAAGGAAACAATCGTTAGATTCGACTTGAAGCAATTTTGTCTTGACTTCCCTCTTCTATGCACCAGTGACATGGCCTGAGTTAAGCCGACGGCAGATGTGACTGGGTACCGTGGTCGACGTTACAGTTCGTCCATCATAAACTACAACGTCAACTATGTGCCGCACGGAGTCGGCGCAGTACCGGTGAAGTGAACTGACAAGGCTTTAAGAACTGTGTACGCGTGCCATGCACGACGTGGTTCCCACAATATGCTCCAAAATGTCACAGAAAGGAGACCTTGGTCTCACTTGTAATACTTAACGCACACGGGCTCCAAGCTCCTGGAAGTGTGAGGTGCCACAGGGAGGTTTCCATCATTTGCCCTTTTAAAGGAAGGCCCGGGTTATCCTATTGAGAAGACACTTTTCACGACACGAACTTCGGCGCTTTTGGATAATTCCAAAAAACGTCCTATTTATAGGCTAATGAACGAACCTTGTTCCTATCCCATAAATAGTGCAACTAATGACCGCCTTCGGTCAACCGAGCAGCTCTACAACCTCCCCATTTCGTTTCCACCTATCCCGACCGATCTTCGGACAGATATCGGGCAGTTTAGGCACAGTTCGAGGGAACAGTCACCGACAATGGAAATTGAAAACAAGTGCCGCCGCTTATTTTTCCTTTACTCTTGTCAATCTTTTTCATATTGCTATTGTTTGGACGAATAATATCTGTTGTAAATTTGCCCTTGGTACTTCTGGTCATTGCAAGGTGACCGCCTTCCCACATTCCACCTCCAATGGACAGAACTAGTGGTTTTCTGTGAAATAAACCTCGATCGCTGGGAGAATTTTCAAACTTGTTGCAGAATCTGCACAACAGAAGTCATGTGGCGGAAGTATACCCTGTAAAAAAGCAATCAATATCCCGAAGCCCGACTGATATCGTGTGCTTAGTCGACGACCGCCCTCAGAGCCATATCTGCAATCCTCCTAGTCAACCGCTCCTCCGCGCATGCAAACGTTTCTCCAAGATGTTTTTTTTTCTCGTAGAAATAACCAACCATAAACCGAATACATACAGTCCGTTTCTATTTGTTTTCAGCGATTTTTAT